ATCCAATCCACAAACAAAAGTTCAAGAATATAGTTGTAAATTTTATCATCAGTTCAATTAGAAACGCGATGCAGACTTTTGGTTCAAGTAACCAAACAGATGCAATAAAACGCTAAAGTGATTAAATTTTGTTTTCCACAAACAAAACCAAGTTTCAATGAGCGTAAAAATCAATCAACGATTCTCTTTATGATTTTTCAGAATGTCCCACTGAAACCTAGTGTTTAGCAATATAAGTGAAAGTAAGATGCTTATGTAACCGTTTTGTTGAAACATTGATAACCTTAACTAATAAGTGATTCTGAAGTGCATTACCTCTGCATCTGCATAAGTCAATTGTCGCCTAAGACTGCAACGAGGGTACTTTACAACTGATTTTGAACCATACCAACGTAATTTCAGCTGTATCAAACAACCATTGCAATATTGTTAGATTACTACAGTATTCTTAAAAGCAGAAAACCAGTGTATAAACACAAGATCAAATTACCTCTACTCTATCAAACATGTCATCAACAATCAGAGGCTTCCCACTGTAATATGAATCTCGAGCCTAGGAATCACGATAAACATATCCAAACACGTTAGTTTCCAATAATTTCAGATTTCCAAATTTACAACCCTAATTATTCACAGTTTTCTCAGCCTATTCCTTAAACTTTCCCTTCAGCCAAACAAGGAAATGATAGCGAAATGACCTAAAAAATACGCCGATCAAACACAAAATTGAGAATCCGAAACGGAAATCAGCGACTTACCTGGCGATATAGAGCTTCTAGGGTTTCTTTGCTAGCGGTTTCAATCGGTCCGATAAATAAGCAAGACGGACCTTCCTCTTTGGACATTCGTACTCCGTTGCTCTTCGTCGAGACCCGCACCACCGGAAACGGAGGTCCGGTTCGGTTAGGCCTGGATGAGAGCTCAACGACTGTGGATCTGATCATGCGAGGCCTGACAGCGCTGCTGCAAACGCCGGCCATGGAACCAAGACAGGAAGACGGCAGCCACCGACGAATACCTGAAACCGTCGTCGCAGCGTCTCGTTTTTGAATTTGACGAGAATGCCCTTTTGAGGTCGGGGATTCGTTTTGGCGGGTACATATCTGGTTGGTTCCTGGCTGACATTTCCTGTAACCTGATTGGTTCTAAATAAAAAGGTGAAAAAATATTGTTCTGCGTCCGCCGGGAGTCGAACCCGGATCGATTGCTTGGAAGGCAATTATCCTAACCGTTGGACTACTGAATCTGCTCAGGGGTTGAAACTCGTGAACTTTTTATAACTATATTATATGATATAATTTAATAGTTTTAAACACATTTTTCTAATTTGTGTTTTTAAGATAAAATTTAAGAGGTTTGGAAGAATAAAAAATAATATTTAATTTATTAATTATTTAATTAAATTTATTCATGTGATATTAATTTTAAAATTAATATTTATTTTTACATTTTTTATATAAATTTATTAAAAAAAAACATTTTTAATCTGTATCTTTGGAGACAAGTTAAAAAAAATCTATTTTTTTTGTTAGTTCATGTTAAAAATTTTTGTCCTCCTTTTATTGTTAAATTTAAAAGAAAATTTCTCTTTTAGTCATACATTCAATTAATGTTCTAAAGGGATTCAATATTATAAACCCATATCTAATTTTCTTCATAAATTTATTAAAAACTTATAATTATTTAGTGATGAGTCTAATGACTGATAGTTGTAAATCTGACATGAAGTTTAAAACTCATAATTTGATTAAGAATAAAGTTTTGAGAACTCAATGTGCTTGTAAATTTTCAAATTAAGACATAATTTAATAGTTATGATCTTAAGTTTTGATTTGTTGGTTATGATAAAAAAATTCAAATATTTAAAATGATAAAGGTACAACCTAAGTTATGATTATCATTATAATACTTATAGTTAGTTCTAAAAAGGGAAGATGACCGAAAAAGAGAGAGATGGAGAGATAACTAAGGTGTCAAGAACAGATCTATATAATTGATTCCCCACCTTCATCTATGAATGTAAAACCCTCAAAACATTCAATTTTTATTTGTTTATTTTGCTTAGAATTAAATTGAATTTCCCATAACATTCTTTTTTTTTTTAATCTGAAATCAAATTATAAATAATATTTTAAACTAATAATAAAAGGGATTACTTTCAATGACCTAAAAATAAAAAAGGATTACTTTTTGAAATTATAGGCTAAAATTCATGAAATGACAAGAGTACCAATAGAAAATTAAAGGAACTTTACTATAGTGGCATGGTAATCTTTAAAAGATTTTTTATTTTTGAACATAGAGAATTATAGAGGGTAGGAGAATTTTTTAAATAATTAATGAGAGTTGAACTTTTAATCATTTAAAAATAAATAATTAGGTTTGAAAACTTGATTCAAAACTTAAAAAATTTATCTCTTCATTAATAATTATAAAAAAATAACGTATACAAAATAAATTGTATTTTTAATTTTTTAAAATATCAAATCCCAAAAAGTCTTTGAACAGTCCTTAGAACAAGCACAAATTAATTTTTTATTTAAAAAAAAATGGCTTGGAGAGTAGAAACCAAATCTTGTGCGCGCGCGTGTGACTCGAGATTGTGTTTTTTATTTTTTTGGTGAAAAGATTGAGTGTGTTGGTGGTAGCCAACTTACAGTTAAAGTACGGCGCTTTATATGGCCGATGATTACGGGATTAAGTGGGTCCCATCCCCTCACCACGTTAAATGCTTGGTCGTTCGTACAGTATTTTTTATTTTATTTTATACTAATTTTTTGATATTTAAAAATTATATTATATTTTAATTAATTTAAAATTAAGTAATATTAGATCTATAAGAGAAAAAAAACTTTCATAAAATTTATTTTTTTATTTATAAAAATCAAATTTAAAATTTTATCCAAAAAAAAACCTAAATTTCTTTCATGTAAATCCACAAATTAATGGTAGTTGAGCGTGTTCTTAGTTGGGTTAGATTAATTAAGCACTCTACAATGCCACTCAGCTTAGATTCGTCTCGTGCCCCCGTTAAATCCTACCGGGTCCCACCCGTTTTACTTCAAATCACCGTCCTTTATCACGTCTTTTTTTTTTTTAACTGGGGAGGGACATGAAATTTTATTTTAATATTACAAAAGGATAATATTTTAATATTTTAAATATTAAAATTATTTATAAAATTATAATTAAATGTAAATTTTAATTCTTACATTTTAATTTGAAATTTTTTTTTTGATCTTTTAACTTAAGAATCGAGCTTTTAATACAGTAATTTATATTTAAACATTAAGTATTTAATGTAATTGATTAAAAATTCGACTCTCATTAACATTTGAAAAAAAATACTTTCATTTTCAAATTCTTTAATGTTAAAAAAAAAAACTTAAAAAATATATTTTTTATCCAAATATTTATCAAATGATTAAGTAACGATTTAATTTATCTAAAGAGCATTTTCCTCTTATTTTTCCTCATAATTTCAATGATGTTAATGTAAATATCTTTACCAAAATATACATGGAGTTATAAATCTATAATTATACTATGTTTTGATATGATTAATTTTCTATTTAAGAATCTATTATATGCATCCTTTTATTTTTTTAATATAAACACTAACAATAAAAAAGTAATATTTTTATCAAATATTGAGAATTAATTCATGATCTATCTATTCTTACTATGGTCACTAAAAAGAGAGCAGAGGAAAGAAACTCAATTGTTAGTCTATGTCCAATTGTATAGAATTATGAATACCATTAATAATATTGTAGTTATTAAAATTATAAAATACTAATTTGATTTAATTTAATTAATAAAAATAGTTAATAATTATAATTAATAATTAATAAAATAATTAATTATAAATTAATGAATTAATATTTTTAAATATTATATTAAAAATTAAAATTTTAATAATATTAATAGTGAGAGTGACAATTGTCCAT